ATTCATTCAAATTAATTTAAATGCTACCAATTGAGCCTGATCCTAAATTATGGAACAGCGTTAACACTGTTCTGTTCATTTGCGGTGCCTCTTCGGTCTCACTGGAGTGACAAACTAACCTTACTGTAAAGTCAAGCAGACACTATACAGATTAAGCCTGGTTTTAACCCCCAAATGACCCCACCTCCCTTATCCACCCAAACAACTAATTAGAACTGGGTTTAATTTCTGAACAACCAACAATCTGGCTGTTGGACAACTGGGTGAATAACTGGCATGTTAGAAACTTTGGTCAGCTGTCTTGCAGCTTGAGCAGTTCCACAGTCTGATTTCCCACATGGCTGCTGTCAGAAGACTCATTACAAACTGCAGTGAGCTTGTTTTAATATCACTGAAATAGTATTTTACATGTTGTGGCTATTGTAGTCTTGACTGAGAGGAGAACAGACCATCTGTGGCTCATTGTAGAAAAGGACAAAATAGCGCTCCTTTTCTCTTTTTGACTACATTGTTGAGGATGCTCGTCTTGTGTTCTTCACTGGACATTCTGTGCTTACATTCAGAGCGAGCACCCATTTCATGACTGATCCGTACAGTATGAATAAAGAAGTCATATGTTTTGGCTGTGAAGAGAGCCTGATTTCAGTGTGTAGCCTGAGGTCACATGACTTCATGACAAGATTAATAAAAATGCAAATTACTAAAAACGTAAGCAGCATCACCTTTAGCCACAATTTCTCGTTCTAGTCCAAATTGCTTCTTCTTCTAATGCTTCCATTTTGCATTAGTGATGAGAACAATAGCCTAGTGTACTGACAGGGCAACCAGCAGCAGGCAGTGCATTTTATGAACTCCCATCACTGAAGTACAAGGCACAGCCTGTTGTGGTTATACACCGAGAATTTAGTATCTGACCAGATTAATATAGATCGAATATTCAATTTTTTTCCTGGCTTGATTAAACCCTACTTCGAATTTCAAATACAAAAATTACAAACTTAATGCAAACCCAACAAAATTAAGAATGTATCACTGCATATTTATAACCTATAGGCCCCCTGCGTTTCCAGCTGCAAAACATGTTTTCCTTTTGGCTACCTGCTCCTTAAGGCCTAGTGGATATTTGATTAACATCCTCAGCCACATGAGTGGAATGAAATTATTTATTTACAGGCTTCTGTAGATGACCCATTCAAGGCTATGACAGATTGAATGCACTACATTTTCTCAGGACTACTGAAGGCTTACTTGCTCAAATATTCATTTGTCACAAGTTCTTTCATTATTATCCACTCCTTGATGCATGCCAATTAATTGCTGCAGTTAAATTTCTCACATCTAGTGCAAGGGCACTTGTTATTGAAATGTTTCATACCATAGACAGTAACCACATGAATGAGTGTGCTAGCAGCACATGGTCTGAGCCCTCGTTTGCATTTCCCTTGGTTTTCATGTTGATCGAAACGCTGAAATGACATTGCAGCTTAGTTTTCAAACCACAGTAATTGGACAAATGATAAAAGAACTGTAAGAACGAGACTTCAGCTCGAATTAATGACTGAATGAAATCTGGAATTGGACAAGAAAACTAAGCATCAATGCAAATCAATAACAAACTCAGACAAAGTGGTTTACAGGCTGTATGTGCAAATTGGCTGCTGCACTGTAGGCAACAATATAAACCAATTATCAGGTGTCAGAATGTGCAACAAATACATCATAGGCCACACTTCTCGATACTAGCCTGAAAACTTGATTTCATGAAGTGTCAAAACAGAGCAGCACTTTCCCCAACACGAGTCACATGAGCAAGCCAGAGGATATATTATATGTAATAACGTTGAGAGCACTCACCAGCCCCTTAACCCTTTCTTTACACTTGTTGTCCAATGTATCTACTGCATTAAACCTTTTTCCGACATTCTCATACTTAAGGAAGCAGATTACAGTCATTATTACTGGACTGTCTGAACAAAGATGTTTAACTTGGAGAAGGGAAATTGGCTAACTTTGAAACAGATTACTACTTTAAATAGATCTCCAAGAAAGTACACCAGCTGGAAAATCTGCGAGCTTCCTTGGTGACCACCTGGCCTGCACCTACGCAGTGAGAAAGGGTGTGGCATGTAGCAGAAGTGTGAACGCACACACGCGCGCGCACACACATGCGCGCACACGCACACACACACACACAGTGAGTGGGCGGGATGAGACTCAGTGCCATCAGGGGGTAAATTTCTCAAAGCAGGACTAGAAAGTTTGTCATGTAAGTGTGAAAAAGATTATGACAAATCTTGGTGATTATGACTTGAATCAAAGAATCAGTTTAGAAATATAAATTAATCATGTATGCTGATTATAACTAATTACAAAGAAAAACTTTCCCAAATATGTGATAACACTTTAGCTTTAAACACTTTTTGTTCATGTTGAATGGCTCACTGATCCTAATATACTACCCCCAGGATACTAGCACCCTCACTCTATACTGCAATCTATGTAAAGGTCAAGCATAATGAATGAAAACAGGTAAGCCAAGACATCGTCCCACCATTCAACTTCCCATTAAAACCACAACCACTTCTTTTTGTGCACAGATTAAACACAAGATATAATGTGTTCACCAGTAAAATTCAGAGGTTCCTGTAGGCAGATTTTGTTGCCTTTGGACAGAGCCAAGCTAGTTGTTTCCCCCTAATACCAGTCTTAATGCTAAGCTAAGCTAATCACCTGCTGCCTGTAGCTTCATATTTACTCTACAGACATGAGAGTGGTGTCTACTCACTGAACTGTCAGCTAGAAAGTAAATAAGTGTATTTCCCAAAATGTCTATTCTTTTAAGGAAGGCGATAGTTTTAATAAAAAAACATAACCTGACCTAAGCTCTTTGTTGGGGTTTATGTGGTTTATAGTTTCTTTTTTGCCCTTTACTTTTATTTTTGCATCTCAACTTTTCTGGCATTTTGAGTAGAAGGAAGTTGTGCTGGTCCCATGCTCTTCTCAGTTCACACCCGTCTTTCCCCTCCACTGTTGCCAAGTGCTTGCTCATTGTGAGAGCTGTTGGGTTTCTCTCTATAATATTGTAAGGTCTTGACCTCCGTGTTAAGTGCCTTGAGATAATGTATGTTATGATTTGGCGCCATACAAAAAAAAACTGAATTGAAATTGTTTATGCTGTCTATGCTAATAACACACAATTACACATGCCTGAAGAACCAAATGACACAAATGCCTTACAGCATTAATAAATAGAGGAGTAATAACTTTCTAAAAGTTAAATGATCATTTTAGTCATCTTTAAGATAAAATGACTGATATTTTATGTTTCTAGCTTCTCAAATATGATGCTTTTCTTTTTGCTATTTATGCTTTTCTTTGTCACACAATAGTAAACCAAATACTTTTTGGTTTTCGACTGCTAGTCAGACAAAACCTTCACCTTGGTCTATGGCAGACAAAAAGTTGAATCATTTAACCACAAAAAAAAAAAGAAATAAAAAAAGGCTTATAATCAATAATGAAAAAAGTCGTTTGTTGCTGCCCTATAATACTAAATACTATTGCTTAGCCCCAAAGCCAAAAGAGATGCGCTATGCAAAAATCCTGGATCTCTGGCTCCACAGATCAAGCCTCAGCACTATATGATCAGCATTCTTTCACTACAGAAATATTGCCATGGTGCAATTTTAGCCAACAAGATGCCAAAAAGCTAATTCAAGCTTCCATCTGAAGTAGAACACATTTCACTGGTCATACTAAAATGTCTATTTAGAGCAACCAATAATAATAATAATAAATAAATGATAAATTCTGCTGCTCCACTCCTGACCCAAAACAAGAAAAAGATGGAGCATATTCGTGTGGTTTTAGCTGAACTTGACACGGCTCCAAGAATCTTTTAGAATTGATTTTAAAGTCTATTTGCCCGTAGCCTATATTAAGCTCTAAATGGATGAGCTTACATTGCAAACTCCCTGTTGTTTTAAGTGCCTTCACGTTCACTCACATCCACCACTCTGGGTTGTTTGAAGTTCAGAAACACGGACATGAGACATTTTTATGCTCCCAAACTGTGGAATGCCAGTCCCCTGGATATTAGGGAGAAAACCTCAGTGAGCATTTTTAAGCAACAGCTTACAACACATCTATTTCTGTTGGTTTTCCACTAGTCATTGAACTTAGAATGTTTCTCTCTCTCTGCACATATATTCAGTATTTTATTGTATTACTATGGTGCCATTTTGTGTTTCAGATTGCTCCTCATTTCTTCATATGGAGAGTGCTATAATGATAATAGAATTTCCACCTATCTGCTGTACCACTTTTACCCTTCAGCACAGCTGCCTGTTATCAGACATTCTGTAGCTTTAACCTATATGTTTGGGAACACAGTGTTTCAGTCGGTGAGCTGTACGCTTAACCTTTTGAAGCATCACCCATTTCTCTACTTTTGAGCAAAGCAGATCTAAAGCTCCAGCAAGAAGATAGGCAGGTTTATTGATCTCATTTGTGCAAAACGTATGCCTATAGCCACCTGCCAAAATCTAGTGATTTGACAAATAGACAACACAATGCTCCTTTGTGTGAGTGCGTACGAATAAGTGAATAAATGGGAGAGAGAATGAGAAAGGAAAGAGAAGATATAATTCCCTTTAAACTCTGCAGAACATTAAACTTATATTATTTTGATGTTTTCCTTTTTTTACCTGCCAGGTCAGCTAATCAATACACAATAGCATTGATAGTGTGTGTGTGTGTGTGTGTGTGTGTGTGTGTGTGTGTGTGTGTTTGTGTGTGTGGCAAAGGCACAGAGGTGGGGTTGGGGGTACACAGTACTGACTCCCTCAAACTCAGCAGTCTCAAATTTAATCACTGCTCTGCTCGGTCATTCACAGTCACAAGTGAAGCTTCAAATTACCACACAAGATGTATGAGTGAACACTGACCACACTGCGTCAAAACCGCTCCGTGCGTAAATGTGGAGCACATTAACTACTTACGCTGCTGTTCTGTCCGGACCAGTGCACCATCGCCTGGTTATGAGCCGTGTCCCCGCTCAGTGCAAATGTCGAACTTGTGAGCTGAAACTCCTCCTGGTCCGAAAACGAAGCCTCATCCCCGCCCTCGGCTCTGAATCCGGACCAAGTCTCTGCGCTCCTCCGTGTTCGTCTCCAACTGGCCACATCCTTGTCCTCGTTCACCGTCACATCAGCCTGCGCCCCATTTTCTCCATAAAAGCTGTTGTTTTTTGCATCACCGCTGCTGTTATCGGTCACGTTTTTAGGGAAAGGGGCAAACGCGCGAGGAAACACTTTGGAGTGGGAAAGTTTTTGTTGGCCGTTTAACACGTCCTTCTGGAGGCAACTTGTTTTATTTCCCCGCAACCGTGACTGTACTTTGGACGAACTTTCTTCGCTCGCGGTTAATTCCGCAACGTTGTGCTTTTCGTCCCCGCTGGCGCTGGGTTTGGCGCCCGGTGACCCCTCGTTAAATCCAACAAATTCTTCTGCTGGTGCCTCGCCAAAATGATCCAAATCCTGCGCCGAGAGTTCCCGGGGAAACGCTGTGACTAGCGGCAGCTGGCACGAGGGAATGCACCTCACCTCCGCTTTTGTTCCGCCCAGGATGGAAGTTAGGGTGAAGAGCCAAATCCACTCAGAGAAAATGATAAAAAGGCAGTAACCGAGGCGCGTCTCCATTCTACGTTAATTCCGACTTCAGGCGTGTTACAAACACATCATCTTCACTCTTGAGCGTCTGTCTGTCATCACCTGGTAAAGTGGAGTCCGTGAATGCACTGTGGGGAGGTGCAGCAGCAGCGCGCGGACAAGTGCTCCAAAGTCTACTGATGCAAACGATGCATCAGAGGAGGAGCTGGAGGCTGAATCCTGCACGAGAGGGGAGAGGGGCCCATACCCCCGCATCCTCATCTCAACCTGGATGGGAGAAAGAAAAAAAACAGCAACTGGGTGTAGCCTACTCTTAATTAAGTTATATGTCTGGAGAGGCGCGTGCTCCCCTTGGGGTTCTTAATTCTGTTTTTGATCAGCTCCGTGCCAGATAGGCTACAGTGTCTCTATGAAACATTTGACCACACCATCATCCTTTAGGTGCTTATGCACTGGATTAAAACAGTCTTAAAGGTCTTCAGATGTTGGGGTCCCCCGGGGGGAAGACATTATTGGGTCTGCTTCCAGGCGTCTTTGTGTGGAAATGTTCCTGACAGGGGCTTTATGGAAGATACAATGAGGCTTTGCATTTTCCATTAGTGCGGGCCTAGGTAATCAATTAACAGGATTGCCTGTGTTCACTGTCAATTATGCCATGCAGGTAATGACTCTGTTGTGTCCCGCCTGCTAAATGCCTCGGAAATGGTTTCACTTAGGCTGCACTCCTGCATCAGATGAATGGAGAAGATGCATATTCCTCTGATTTTAGCTTTCCTCAGATTAATGGAGGGATGTCTTCAAGGCTGCTGCCAGGGATTTTGGACCCCATGAAAAGATGTCACATTGGACCCCACTACCACAGGCCTCGCCAACCTTGAAAATATAAGACAGTGCAGACATGCATGCATCTTTGATACAAGACTAATACCAAGAAATGTGCTAAAGGCCATCTTTTACAGTTTAAATCATGTTTCATATCATTGAAACGGCTTTAATAATTTTGACTTCATTAATTTCATAATAATGAGGCTTCCTGGATGTTTAATTTTTGCCAAAAACAAGAAAAAGAAACCGTTTCTTTTATAAGTACATTGTAAACAAAATACTACACTAATGATGATAAGTTAATAACTTAATATTGGAAAACAAATTACCTAATGTTCCTAATGTGCTCCTGGTTGGCTGACAGAAAGTAATGAGAAGGATAGAGGTGAGCGATTTATAATTTTCTCTATCACCCTCTTCTGGTTGCTGTTGTATAGGCACAGAGGAGTATGCAGGTGCCATGGAAATAATTGAGAAGCCATTATTACCAGACACCCTGGAATGGCCTATGTTGCTATATTTCTCTATACTTTGGGCTTTGTTCCAGTCAGCTAATGGTAAACCATTAGGAGAACTAGAGCCCGTCCAAACCCTGTGATTAGATTCTATTCCTGGGCAACATTTTGTCAATAGGATGAGGATGCTGTTGACTGGTGACTGATGCTGAAGAGACTGCCTATATTGAGCTGTGTTCGCTCCGAGCTGCGACGTGATCCTGTTCCACATACGGGTCAACTGCACAGAGACGTCTTTCATCGGCAGCCATTAGTGATGCAGTGAGCAAGAGCTGTCTCAATCTGTTTCAGTTAGCCCCCACCAGACAAGGGGAAACCAGTCTATAATGCAGATTGATGGCTGACTGAGAATTTCAATCATGGAGAACATTGGCTAAAAAGCTCAAGACTTGACTGTAATGCAAACCCTAAAGCAGAGTGCAACTATTACAATGCAGAAAGCCTCTTCAAGAAAGTAGCCTAATGCCCACATGTGGCACCTATTCAGCTTTTTACATGTATTTTTTACTTGCTGTGACTTTGTCAAGGATACATCTGCACTGACATTGTGGAGTGATTATAATGGATTTTTGTCTGACCTGTCTGTTTAGTTTAGACATGGATGGTTGTGCACATGTGGATATGGAGTTGTGTATGGCTGGTGTGCTTTGACTTTGTTTTTCTTGTAACTAATCTGTGATAAAAGTCATTTCCTGAAGATGGACGCACCTAACGATTATTTTCATCATCGATAAATCTATTTATTATTTTCTCAGTTGACCAATTAATTGCTTAAATGTCAGGACATAGTGAAAAAAGCAGATCAAAGAATCACAGTTTCACAGGGACAAAGGTGACATTCTCAAATGTACTTGCCTCATCTGAAAGAAATCCCAAAACTTAAAGATATTCAATTTACAATAATATAGATTAGAGAACAGCCGAAAAATGTCACATTGGAAAAGCTCGAACCCAAACAATGTTTATAATTTTTGCTTGAAAAATGACTCCAACAACTAATCGACTATCAGAACAGTTGCAGATAAATTTTCTTTCAACTGTCTAAAGAAGTCGATGAATTATTTACACTCTGGATGAAATGTAGATTTCTCTTTGAAGCAGCAGTGGGAGGATGAAGTTGTGTAATTGTCATCATGTGTAAAATCAACAAATGAAGCTTTTAGCATAAGTTCGAGCGGGAAGACTCGAGCCAGCCTTATCTCGTCTCCTCACTGAGACTCCACCTCTTCACAACTGTCCAATGATTTCACCGGGGCTGTGTGCAGGCTTATATCATCCAGTGATCGTCTTTTCTAAAGAATATTTAAACCACCTATGTTGTCTGCTGCTTGCAACTTCGCCCTTCCACCACTGCACCACCACCAGTGTTCCAGTGTTAAGGCCCCATCTAAGGCTCCCTCGGGGGTTCTCAGAATGGCTGCTATTCATAGGGCTCTATCGCCATACATCTCCTTAATCGACAGCGTCAATGCCAAAGTCTTTATTAAATAAACTTTCACCATTAATGTTAATTTGTGTCTTTCCTGATTGAATTGATTTTAAGAAAATAATAAAAATCACATGTTAAAATTAAAACAGTATGCGTACAAGTGTGAGAGCACAAGCAGACTTTGGGAGGTGTAAAGTGTGCATTAAAAATCAAATATCCTGGGAGGATCTTCACAGACTTTAAATTTCACTTTGAGAGGTGACAAATTTCAGGACCAATATCGCATAGCACATTTGTGTGCACAACATGGCAGCTGAGTGGAATTATTGTCTTTCGACAGACAAGATTGCTGCTTTGCCGCCTGTCACACAGACTGAATACAAACTGTGTTATGCTCCCTGAGCTCATACTTCAATGATGGGACCTTGTGAGCAGACAGTGTAAAAAGCACACAAAGGAACGAGACAACAGTGATCCATGTTGGTGGATTATTCTTTGTATGTTTAATTAAAAAGAATTCAGTGGAAGACGAAAAGAGCACTGTATAGCTCCTCTTTGAAACTAGACCTATTCCACATTGATGTCTAGTTCTTTTTCACAACTATCCTTATTACCCTGGTCCATATAACATTTTAAAAAAGGACCAAAGACTCTATGGACACTAAAAAGCAAACATCTGCTTTCAGTGCAGCTTAGCTTAGAGTACAAGCAGCAGCATGTGTACATGACAAAAGGCACACACAGCTGCCATTGAAAAGAGATCTCTTTTTCTAGCACCTAATCCTTTTCTCAATAGAAAGTGTGGCACTTCTGCCCAGGTTTTGCAATTTGGCTTCCTGTAGATTTGATACAGAACCACTTGTGCTGAGTTAGAAGGTGTTGAGGTAGTCACAGCATATAGCTCACTTTAATGATGGACACCTGAGACGCCCACTTCAATTAGTTCTGAACACACCTCTGGGGCACCGGGAGAGAAAATCGCCTTTTCAAATAATGATTTCAATTACATTATTGAGAGATATGGCAAAATGCAATACATGCTGCAGGTTAAGTGCTCTGACCCCAGTGAAATGCTATAGGGTGTATCCATTTGATACCACAAATCCTTCAGTAACTCTTCAAAGATGTGATATAAGGTTTGTAGTCCGCTGTGTTATCAGTGAAGTGGAGAGATATGACTCACTGAGAGGAATGAAATGCTATAAAACAGATTCATATTCATATCTAATTACCAGAAATATATTATGTATACTTTCTAGTGCTGTCATTGTCATTCTCTACCTTGATTTATTATGTGCTTATTTTATTATAATGTAGATGCTAGTTTTTAATTCATTGACCTTCAGCTCCAGCATTTGATGTTTGATTCATTATTTACAGATTTACTAATCCGTACAGTACTGTTACAGTACCTCTTTGCCATTATGTTAATCTTCATTCTTCCTAATTCTTTTTTTTTTTTTTTTTTTGCTTAACCTTCAGTTCAGATCAGGACGACAACAGCAGCAACAGAGTTACATTAATCCACATTTTAAAGAGCACATTATTCACACAATTTGAGGAAATGTTAAGAAATTAATGGTTTGGGCTACAGGGCATAAATTTTTCCTCATTTCACTCCTGCCAAGAAGCCAAAATGCTCTGATGTTGCATGACCTTAACTCAACTAGAAATGCAAGATAGGTCTGAGCACATTAGTGGCCTGAGCTGCTTGTAACATTTGAAGAAATCAAACTACTGCATAGTTAAACAGGTAGGCTGTAAGAACTTTTGAGTTGTTTGATTTGAAATGAATTATCCATATAAGGGTATCTTTATATAGCTTCATGCTACAAGTACAAAGAAGTCAAGTAAAGCAACTTACAATAAGCACTCTCAACTGATCATATTTAAGTGATGATCATGTTACAGATGATACATTCCCTATCTTGTTTACCATTGCACTGGTGCTCATACATATTTATAACACATTAAAGTTTTCACATTACATATAAAACAGGCACTAGTTTGTATAATGTTGGAATAACCAGCAAATATTAGCGGTAATGCAGGCCCTAATGAGCACTTAGCACTAAAAAATAAATACAGCAGATTGTTACTGAAAGTATTCATTATTCACAGCATCAGCGCACACTCACTGAGTTGTACAGTATTCTATTTGTTGTGGCGGTTGTTGTCTTTGTGTATGACTGCCAAGATGGCATCAGATAAACAAGGTTCAGTGGGAAATACAGCCATCATCTTGTCTCACTGTGGTCTCT